CTCTCTCTCTCTCTCTCTCTCTCTCTCTCTCTCTCTCTCTCTCTCTCTCTCTGTGTGTGTGTGTGTGTGTGTGTGTGTGTGTGTGTGCACACCTGGACGTTGTAGGCCGCGTTTTTTAATTTAATTTAATTTAATTTAATTTTAGTTACGAACGACGGAATTGAACGGCGCATTCGGTCGCGTTCATTTCGTTCAAAATTTGAGCGGAAAACCTGCGTTCAATGAACGCGCGGTTACATAGCTCACCATGTCAGCATTACCTTTCGTGCATGAAGTTGTAACGTTGGCTGGTGATTTGGAGGGGCGGCTTGTCCCTTCCCACTTCCACTCGCCCAATTTTTTAATGGATGTTCTCTCGAACACCCAACCTTCGAAGGTCGGGTCTTCTAGGACCCAGCAGCCCGGACCTTCCGTGTGCAGTTTGACCAGACCTTTCAGAGTCTTACCTTGCGTATTGGGGTAGTGGAGGTCCGAAGACAAGTGCCCCCTTTGTCTGCATGCATAGCACCATGGGTCCTGGGGGTGATTGACCTGAACTGTGTAGGTCTTATCGCCCTGCGAGAAGGACCACTGGCCACTGACCGGTAAACCTTTGGTCGGGTCCCAGTCCACCGCAACTAGTAGGGTATCGTCCCGCTTGGGTAAGAATTGAGGAGTGCAGTTGATGTAGCCCAGGACCGGGGCAATTTGGTGCTGGTCATCCAAAATGGCACCTTGCACCCTTAATGGGGCGAACCGGAACTTCACCCAAAAGTGGTTCCTCATCAACTGCTCCCTCCTCTGGTTTGTCGTGAATGGGGTGGGAGGTTCCCATCCTCTTACTTCCACCTCGAAGCCCCTGTACCGGAGTGTCTTCAGTTTGAGGAGATTGGCCTTGTCGATCGGATAGATGGTAATTACCGTGACGAGGTTTACCCCTGCTGATTCAACCAGAAAGTGATATTCGACTGCTTGCTCGCTGGTCTTGATGGACCTCAATCTGCGCTGCACCCATTTCAGTTTTTCGTTAACGGGCACATCCACTAACTGTTGGGGGAATGCAAATTGCACAACGTTCTGTGTGAAGATCATGTTCCGAATCGCCACAGCCTGCAGAGGAAAGATTGAGTGGGGTATATATATCTGTCCTTTTCTATGTACTTCTTGATGGGCCGGATG